CCCGCATCCTTAGCCAAACTACGTCCGTGTAGGTCAGGAAACGTAGCAAAATGTGCATGAAACTACCAGGCATATTGGACTACTAGAAGGTAGGTTATTAAAAAAGATACGAAAACGCACGATGGGAGTAGCATTACCAACGCGTAACCACTGCCTGACATTCCCTTACTGCCATCGAGCCTGGGCATTGGCTTTGCAGGACGGTTTCACACTCGTAACAACAATGGCTTGGACACTGCGTTGAGGGACATAATCAGCCTCTATTGTCCTCCTTGAATTGTGACCACATGTCTCGGATCCGATTCGTTTTGGATGGACATCTGCGTGTTCACCTAGGCAACCAACCTCCCAACCATCAAGCCCCCCCCCCCCAGCTTTCACATTCTAATCCACCTCCTATTGTTAGCTTACATTCGGCGATCCCTAAGGCACTCAGCCGTCTCAGGGGGGCACCTGCGAACAGTTAGACCTAAGACGGAGCCGAGCATTCGGCCGAGTTTTTGAGTGGAGCCTATTTTCTGTCGAATATGGGATCCTCACATGTGCAAAACAGAGATGGGGGGAGGAAAAAGAGACGAAAGTCGGTCAGTCACTGCTCCGCACTCCTCTCCAGCTTATCTGACTTTTTCTTTCGCGGAACATACGAGAGATCGAGCCTGCGAGCGCCTCCTCCAAGCAACGCACATTCGAACTGCCATGGTGCCTTAAAAGTCGCACCCCGAAATGTCCCTGCTGACAGAATGATTCACTTATTGGAGCCAGGAGCCAGACTATAGTGACTGCTTCAGAGAGATCTGGCGAGTGTGATCCTTAGTTGAGCCGAGTCTGTCACCTCTAGCTTGTAGAGCCAACATCTGTGTGTGTGGTTCATGAGAGACAGGAGTCAGGACTTGGTCATTGTTACTAGAACGAGATTTTGGTGAAGAAAGTGGGGAAGAGGGAGAGAGGAAAGTTACCAATGCCAAATTCTCCATTATTACCGGCCAATCCGGTAAGAAATCACAACCGCCTCCCTTCGAGGCGGCGCTAGTCCTCCTTGAATACGACGAACGAACCACGCGATAGCGCTTATTCCCGAATATACATATACGGCCGTTCAAAGAGGGCTTTAAGCCACTGCATCCAAGTTCTCCTCAGTCGTCTGGACCGAGTGCTGTTTTGTCTTGATTGAGACTGGTATGCGGACTTCCCTTTGTCATCATCTACTTGACGCGGAAGACAAGACTGCCCTTCAAAGTACCACCGGCCGTCGCAGAACTTGACGGAGGAACTTGCACTGCGTCTGTGACAGAGAGGATCATTCCCGTCCAAGGATATTTATTCGACCAAATGAATCATTGAGTAAATGTTAAACCTACAGTTAAGAGCCAGCAGAATCTGCGAGACCTTCAGTCTCTCAGAACAACAACCACGTTATATCAATGATTCCGCAAATTTTATATCAAAGAGCTGCGTTGTTGGCCAGGAGGGCACGAATACATGGTTCTGGTCTGCCTGCTGCCATAAATCAACCATGCTGCGGCTGCGGGTTCAGGAAACCATTCTCGGACGTGAAAAAGTGAATGCTCATGCATATCCTATCATAAGACCGAATAGGAGATGCCAAGTAAATGCATGTGACTATCTTCCAACGCAGTTAAGAGAGGGCGAGTTTTACAAGCCGCATGGCTGGCTGACGATGACCACTAAGTCAGAAACGAGCGGTACGACATTGCCGTCCATTTTGGCACACTTCTGTCGCCCGTTGGCTGTTCATCGCCTCAGCACTCACTGGACCAACTCACAACCGAGTCAACATGAAGGTCGTTAGCAGTAGGCAATTAGATTAGTTGCTATGCGCCAGAGCAACAGACTTAATCTGTCACATTGCCTTATAGCAGAGTCACAGCCGGGAAACTCTGCCTGTTTTAAAACTAGAATCCAGCCAGTGCCGACCTCTGGCAACTAAACAAACGGGAGCGCCGCGACAAGTGGATGCGAAGTTGGCATTTTGTCACATGAGGCTGGCAGTTAGGTCTCACATTTACTTTACATCCTACTAAAAGTCGTCCTTCTAATGGTTGGTATCCTAAGGCCCGATGCTGACACTAATAGTAGTCGGCGAGACGTTAATATTATAAGCCTTTCCGCCAAATAAAACGTCTCGGATGCGCTGGAGCTTAAAGAGTACGAGAGAGAGATAGCAGGTTTTTATTTTCAGGCAGACAAATGTATATGCGAACAAGCATCTGGACACTATAATTCAACAAGACCTAAAAAGGGGCAACTTTCTTTGTTGTTTAACTGAGGAGCTATCGCAAGAACTCCCCGTTCCTCAAGTACGCGTGAGCGCAGTCAGTAGACGATAACAGTAAACAGGGGAAAAAATTCCGTCTTAGTTGTCCAGGTACTAAAGTTTACTACGATAAAGCGGAAAATCACACATGGATGGATATGAGAGAAAAAATGACGGACGTGTAGGGCTTCAAGCCCTCGGGCTCCAACACCTACAGTAGGTAGTCTAACTCATGAAATATCATGGTCGAAACTTGAGCGAGAAGTATGTCATGCATTTGATGTTGTTATTTGTGTTTATTAAAGCCATTTATTGAAGAGGGATTCATTTAAAGTCAGTCTTATAAAAGGGAAACAAGCCAGATTTGGGGTACATTCGACCTTTCTTGATATCCAGATAATTTCGTATACTTTGGAAATTTGTGTTTATTTGCATTGTGCCGTAAACGAAGATTGAAATAAAAGGGAAAAATAAAAACGAATCCTGTCTGGAAACGGAAAATTCGATTTTGCTTTCATAAAAATCAAGTGAAGGTGGGTTTCTGCATGGTTTTCAAGAAAAAAGAGCCGAAATCAGCTTATAATTTTTTTTGCAAATTTATGGCGCTTCATGCCATAAAACGTAGTAATAAACTTATTCGACAGCCGACTTTCATCCCTGCTAACAGCCCAGATCTCAATCCCATCGAAAATCTTTTTGCACTTCTCAAAAACATTGGCATAAGGCGGATAAGAACCTGCCCAATAATGAAAAACTTGATTTTATTCTGGACAATCCACTGTAGACGACCTGACCATCTCCATGTCTGAAAAAATTTCTACCGTGATAAATGTAAATGCACAATCAAAAAAGTACTGCTCTTTTGTATTTGTTATTATTTTTCATTATTTTCATCATTTAATGCATCCCTCTTCATTTTGCACTCTTAACGTTAGCCCTATTTAAGTGATTTGTAATATAGGCCTTTTCTGAAATGCTAGTTTTCAGTGAAAATTAATCATTTTTCGTTAGCAAATATTAATTACAACCCCAACTATGCCTTTTTAAGAACACTCGTTTTTTACTACCATAAGACTTTGGGGGTGCAGTTTGGCGAATTTTGCGTTATAGGGATTTTCTTGGGCTAACTGTATGCCGGGCTAGGAATAAAGTGATCACGGTTAATGGGCGGCCGGGGCATTTGCGCATACAGCCCCCCCCGGATAGCCAATCACAGGCGCTCACAAACTCCGGAATCCCCCATCACCTCACCAAGGTGACGCTGGCTGAGTCTCGCACTACTTTCATTCGTTCATGCAAAGATCACTCCAACGGACGGACGCACGAAAACCGAGGGCTGGCCGCCCGTAGGGTACTCCGATCACCTCTCAATTTCCTTACAGAATACACGACTCCTACCGGTGTCCTCCTCCTCCTCCTCCTCCTCCTCGAAGATGGGATTAGACCGTATCTATTGTGATGTTATAAGTACACCCACTACTTAAGCGCTATGGCAGTTCGACCTCCGTTGCCGGCGATGTCCACCGTGTGCCCCGCGGCAAGGTGAGGGCAGGCACGGTGACTTGTGCGTGAAGTAGTTTTTAATGGTAGTAGGCTTGCACAGCATATGCCCCGCTCTCTCCTCCTCCTCGCCCGCCCGTCAAATCCCCGCGTCAAGACGTAGTCAAGAAGACCGAAGAGTGTGGAGGACGGTGGTAGCTGGCGCGGCCAGACCTGCACCTAGGCGTACCACCACACCCCTGTGGTCCACAACAATTACTTGATCACGATTTTAACCAAAAACAAAGAATGAAACAGAAAGAGTAGGATAACACACAAGTCCCACTACGCCCATCAGGAACGCAAGTGCATTCTCCGGCAGGGAACCGGGTGCCAGAGAATACCAGGCTGTAAAGGCCACGGTTTGCGGAATCATGACATAGCGGACACACAATCTCCAAAGCCCAGTAAGGCGCTCTAAAACTATGTCGAAAAAATGTCCTGCCAGAGCCCCTGTTAACGCAAACTGAAAAGAGTTGACGACAGTCGTAGTCAGAATGGCAATGGCTGTCACACCTGTGCATGCAAACCGAGATAGGGCGATGAATCTACGCGGCAGAATTCGCTCTTATCAAACACACGCACGCGCATGTGAAATGTAAATGCATTATCTGCATGCGAGGAGTATCCTTGAAAAAAAATGACACTTGTTAAACAGGCCTTCCATCGGCTTTATCACTTCATTTTGAAGTGAAACATCTCTAGCCCCGGTCATAGCGGCCTTTGATCGTGCCTAAAACCGGAGATGCGCAACGCAGTCGGGCTTGTGGCTGCCAAATGGGTACGACACCGATCTGCAATTCGCGGGCTTTTGGCTTCATAGTCGTCCCTTTTATAGATTCCCTAGGGTTGCTTGATTTGAGAGGTTGTCTTGAAAGAGTCTGTTCTGGCTTTGAACCTTGTTTCCGCGATCAACACTTCTCAAGATCGTCCAGTGTCCGTAAAGTTGACTAAGACACTATGCGAATCACGGATCTTGGACCCCAGTTTACAATGCTCTCTCCCCAGTATGTACTGCACCTCGAACTAAATCACCTCGCTGTTGCCTGGAACTGGCTTCTAGGAGTGTAACAGGACACTGGCCTTAAATTATCCATAAACCCCCATGCACCTGGGGCCAGGGGAAATGGGAAATGCCTGCTGGGAACTTTAATGCCTAGAACACGGAATCCAACCTGATGGGCAAATGCCTAGTGACAAGGCAAATGACGGTGGTAACGATTCCTTCCAGACATGCTTCAATGAAACGGAAGCTGTAAAACTCGTTCTCCGTGCGGTACTTGTTGATTTGGAGCCAACTGTTGTCGACGAAGTTCGGACGGGTACTTACCGGCAAGTATTTCATCCGGAACAAATCATCAGTGGAATGGAGGAGGCCGCCAACAACTATGCACACGACCATTATACCATCGGTAAGGAAGTGATCGATCTGGTTTTGGATCGCATTCGAAAAGTTGTCGATCTGTGTACCGGCATTCAGGGTTTCGTCATTTTCCGCTCCTTTGGTAGGGGCACTGGGCCAGGTTTCGTATCAGTCCTCATGGAGCGTCTTAGCGTAGGCTACGCCAAGAAATCCAACCAGGAGTTTGCAGTCTACCCGGACCCGCAGATCTCGACTGCGGTCGTGGAACCCACAACGCCATTCTCTGTACACACTCCACTCCCATGCATCTGGGCCACATATCGGAAACTCAGAGAGAATCCAGCCACCAATTTCGACGATATCTGGCCAGGACAATCCGGTGATCCTCCTATACGCGCCAGGAAACTAAACTTTGCACGTAGTATGCATTTACAGATAAGCATTACCGACAAATAAAGGGGATCAGGAAAGTCCAGTTGTCTTAATTTTCATATTCAGCCGGACACACCCTGACCCCATGAGGATGCCTGGACCATCAATCCGAACCAACTGGTCATCAGACTTGTTTAAATCAAGTACTCTCTCATTTCAACTAGGGAACTATGTTCTTTCGCCTGCAATAGGGAGTACTCATTCACGTGGGGATGGAGTTCACTGACCTATCCCAACTTCAGGAGGGATTACTGACCAGTCAGTACTTGAAAATTACTATCGACTGGAATGGACAGCTGTGGCTCATTTACCGTTATCAGACAACCATATCCTAAACTGTGGCCCTGATAACATGGAATTGTTTCTGCCAGCCAGTTAAAAACATTCAACATACATAGACACTCCAGTGACGATTGCGAGTGCTAATCATTGGTCAGCTGTTCGTGCAGTCCTGTATTCCTAGACAGAGATGATGACCTTGAATAATGCTATAGAAACTAGTCTATTTAACGTCTCCGTCGGTGTGCTTGCCTTGATTTGCCAATAGGCACTGAACCCCCAGAGGAGGGGGGGCAGTGTATTTTGCCCGAGGTCCGGAAAATGCAAATCTCCTAAATTAGTGAAGACTTTTACAGTAACAGTAGTAAGCCCATGGAAGTCAATACATTTTCAGCTGTCAAACTGTTTATTTTGTTGCATAAGCAATCACAACTTCGAAGTCTGATCGAAGTAGTTTAGTGGGCAGTTAACACTATTCCCACATCCGCATTTATGCAAAGTGTTTGCCAACGCAGTCTGGTTTCCTTCACATAAAGGGTTTTTCACAGGTTTTAGTAAGGACAGCAGAGTAAGTGGACCTAACGTCGAGCTTATTAGGGAATAAATGCATTAGTTTACGTCCTACAATCAACTGACGTCGACCACGATGATGCCTGGGCCTGTGGCTCAATAGCGAGCAAGAGGATTCATAATAACCGACAGGGTTTTAGGTCTTAAGTACTTTCAAAATTCCGTTGGAACATGGATAAAGGACCACTCCATTCTTTCTGACGACAATACCTCTTGATTGAAATCATAATTTGTATTCACAGCACCGGCCAACGGGAGAAGTAAAGTTAGCCGTCGTTAGGATGGCAAATAATTTATTCGGACGACGACGACGACG